ATCAGATTCTCAATAGGTTCACATACACAACTAAATTGAAAAAAATAAACTCAGGAGACATGCCTTTATAACTAACTCGAAATATCCAACATCAGAATCCAAAGTGGTGGGAGTGTATGGTTTGATAACCTCTTCACCTTGACTGTCCTTACCCCTGCACGAAAAGACCATATGCATTTGGTGGGTAAGTAAAGACAGCATACAACTCCAATCCTTCTTTTGAAGCTCAAAACGACAGTTCTATAACACTAGCAAAAGGCCAAGTTAGACGATTTAACCTGCAACTTATATGCTGCCCAATAGGAAGTCCCAACACAGAAGTGGGTGTAGGAAGTGCAAATTTGAACTTTGCCACATTATGGCTGATTTGTGTTTTCTTGACAAGCTTGAACTCCTTGAAAGCCTCAGGATCCAAGCAATCTGTTCAGTACACAACATTTTTGTTTCATTTTTCCATAATAAAAATTAAGAATCTATATTAAGATATTAAAAATTCAAGATTTTTATCTTTATGCAGGAAATTAATGTCTACCCACCTTAGGAACTACCCGAAAATATGTAATAATCAGCCATAAAAGAAACCCAAAAATCATACAGTATAAACTAGATTATTTATGGGAAAAATTGCACACAAAGTAATCTAATACAGATATGCATAATTGATCAAACCTTTGGGTTTCTTAGAGGAAAACAAGAAGTATGCAGCAGCACAAACAGCAATAAGCCCTACAGCAACACCAATATATAATTGGCCTTCAGGTGTTTCCAAGAATTCCATAATTTCAAGTAATCAGAAACCCCTGATTCTCAGAGAGGGAGAAAGAATTTCATCTGGTGAGCAATCTACTCAAGAAAGAATGGTAATATATATATAACATAAAAATCAAATCTTGACAAAATAGGCAAACAGAGTAGTGATAATCTTGTTTAACATTCCAAAATTAATTGTTTTCAGGGAAATGATCAAGGATCCCATAGTCGAGATTGAGACCAGAAAAAAGAAGAAACTCTGAAGAAAAATAGAAAAAAGTGTTCATTTATTTTATATCAAAATTTTACCTTCTTCTCCAATCTCCACGCCTACCTCCCTGGTTTCTCGTGGCGCCAATTTCTACACACCAGTATCCAACGAGCACGTGCGCCATGCTTTTATTTTATTATTTATACTCATTTTTGCCCTTTTGGGCTCAGCCAATTTTACGTGCTTGTGCCCATATCGTCTTTTCAACCTCTTTTCTAAAAAAATAAAAATAAAAATAAAACATTGACGTGATTGAAAAATTATCCGATTTAATAAAACTCTACTAACTTTTAACTGGTCATAACTTGTATTTTATGAAATTCACTTTTTTTAAAATTTATTTATCAATTATTCAATCACATTTTTCATCAACTTTGAATGTGATAAAGGAAAGTGATATTTGGATTTTAATTTTTACCTTTTAAAGTTTTGTTACAAAGAAAGGTCCTAACATATTGATACCGAACATACAAATCGTCAATATTTTTTCTCTGATATTTAGATTCTCAATTGTCAAATCCCCATAAATAATTTTGTGGATTCGGCTTTTAAAAATCATATACGGCGTTAAAATATTATTTAAGTAGAAAAGATAAGCGCAAGTGACTTCATCTAAAAAAAAATTAAATAAAAAGAGAGAATTGTAGCAACTCATTGCTCCTCCATGCCCTCTGACCTGCTAGTTGATTGATTCTCCCCAGCCCTCCTCTATTTCCCCATGGTTCACAATTCGGAGTTAGAGGAGGCAGATGAAGGTCCCAAGGGAGGGTAGGTATGATTGTCCTGGAGAAAGTTTGTTCTTTCTTTGGGAAATAAGTTTTAATCGTCTTTTCAATCAAACTTCCTTTTTTTTAGCGTCAGTATGATCAAAAACTCATTTGAACCAATATGCTACAAAGTTGAGAGATTGTGGACCAACATGTCCAAAAAGAATAGGGAGTAGGGATCACCTTCAAATAAGTTGAGGACCCAATTGCTAGAATACCCATATATAAGTTGGTACCTTCTAATAAATTATTAATTAAAAAAGAACTACCGTTGTCCTCCCTCTTAGTTATTTTTGGGGGAGACAAGTGAGATGCAGACTAGAATGGACAACAGTGGAGATGGTGAGAATGACATAATAGGATTGGAGAGATGGAGAAATGATATCTTCTCTTTTTCATTTTTACCTTTTTAATTGTGTCTTTATGAATCGTATAACTTGTGCTAATTAATATGATATTTAAAGGCCAACACTGACATAGGCTCTTTCGAAATTATTTTCGGGAACAATTATCAATATCTATAAGAATCTAGATATTGCGAAAAAGAAAAATTGATCATCTAAATGCCAAAGAAATAGAGATTAGGTTTTCATTTAGGTAAAAGGATAAGATTTTAAGAGCAATTTCCTAAATTCCTCCTTCAAGAACAAGAATATGTATATAATATGTTATTAAACGCTAAGATTACTTTAGTTGAATATCTTTTTTAACGTAATATATAAAGTACATACACAATTATTGCAACATACAACGTGCAACGCATGTAGAGTAGCTAAATACATGTACGTGTGACAAAACTTCTCGTTTAAGAGATCGAAGACAACCTTTAATACACATTATTGGATGCTAGACGGAATAATAATTTGATTTTTTTTTCTTTTATATTATTCAGTACAAGTAATTTCACCAAACGAGTTGTAAAACTAATATTTTACATGATGGACAAGCTGTGCAATGACGAAGGTACATATATCCAGTTAATTTAAGGAGTTCAATTTGCCTTTAAATGTTATTTTTTCTATTCATTTAATTTGTAGCAAATCAATTCAATTGTAAATGTTATAGCATTAGGGCTGTAAATAGATTTGAGTAGCTCAAATTGCTCTAAAGAAAAGAACACAAACTAGTCATGTATTATTTTACGTGTAGGCTACGGGAACAGAGGAGTCATACTATGTGAAGGAAGGCAAGATAACTCTAACCCTACCATTTGCTTATTTTTAAACCGTTGAATAACTTTTTTTCTTTTTTGTTTAAATTGCTAATCATTACTCAAATTAGGCACGGGGGATGGTTCTTTTTTGGATTGTAATAATTTTTGTTCTTGCCAATATTCTTAATGCACAAGATCTTAGGTAAAAAAATACTAACTAAATAGGATCGACCAGCTATTTATTAGTTATCATTGATTGATAAGTGAATTACAACTAATTTATCTAAAGTTTAAAAATGTTTTGTAGCGCTTCAATTAAGTGAATTTAAAATGCAATCCCTTTTTGAGTTTTGAAACCAATCAGCCATCTAAGTAGGGGACTAGACTATGAGATCCTGTATAAAAGTCAAGAAAATTTCCTTTAGATTGTTACTTTTCATTCAGTTGATGTAATAATGTCAACTTTTATACTTGCATGCACACTTGATAAACATATAAAACCACGTAGAA